TTTTATTATATCCTCTTCAATCTCTTTTTTCAGAGTGCTGTAGTTTTCAGTGTAGAGATCTTTTGCTTCTTTCGCTAAGTTGATTCCTAGAAAATTCATTTTTTTGGATGCTATTGTCAAAGGAATTGTTTCCCTAATTTCTCTCTCAGGGAGTCTGTTGTTTGTGTATAAGAAGGCTATTGATTTTGTGTGTTGACCTTGTATCCTGCTACTCTGCTAAAAGTGTCAATTAAGTCTAGAAGTCTTTTGGTGGAGTTTTTTGGGTCTTCAATGTAGAGTATTATATCGTCAGCAAATAATGACAGTTTAACTTCTTCCTTTGCTATCTTTATTGCTTTAATTTCTTTTTCTTGTCTAATTGCTATGGCCAATGTTTCCAGAACTATACTGAAGAGGAGTGGTGACAGTGGGCATCCTTGCCTTATTCCTGATTTTAACGCGAAGGTTTTCCATTTTTGGCCATTTAGTATGATGTTAGCTGTTGGTGTTTCATAGATAGCCTTTATTAAGTTGAGATATAGACCATCTATTCCAGTTTTTTGCAGGGTTTTTATCATGAATGGGTGTTGAATTTTGTCAAATGCTTTTTCTGCATCTATCGAGAGGATCATGTGGAAGTACAGTCTTTTTAAAACAGTGTTAGTAAAAATGAATACTCACATGTAGAAGAATGAAGTTAGACTTTTACTTTATGATATATATATGCACATACATATAAACATATATAAAACAATCAACCCCCTAGGAGGCTGAGGCAAGAGGATCCCAAGTCATGCCTGGCATAAAGGCCCTGTCTCAAAATAAAATATTAAGCAAGGGATAGTGGCTTGGGATGTGGCTCAGCATGAAGAACTAAAGATTTAAACCTAAGACCCCAGATTATAAAAATATTAGAAGAAAACAAGATCCACAACATTGGTCTTAGCAAAGTTTTGGATGTAACTGTTAAGGCACAGGAACCAAAAGCAAAAAGAAATAGATTTCCATAAATCTAAAAATATTCTACAAACAAAGGAAAAACAGAGTGAATACCTTAAAAAATGTATATATATGAAACTCAACTCAATAGCAAAAAAATAAAGAACCGTATTAAAAAATGGACAAAGGACATAAAAAACTATGCATATCAAGGGATGATATACATATAACCAAAGTGTGCAATATCACTAATATTAGGAAGGCAAATCAAAACTGTAAGGGCTGGAGATTACCTCAGTGGTTCTAGCACTTGCTTCACAAACGCAAAGACCCAAGTTCAATCCCTGGTACCAAAAAAAGAAAAACAAAATAACTATAATGAGTCATGCCATACCTGTTAGATGATTATTACCAAAAAAAGATGAAAGAGGATGACAAATTATGTGGAGAAAAAAAGAACTCTTGTTCATTGTCGGTGAAAATGTAAATTACAGTCAGGACAAATCACAGAATTAAGTTCCTAATAAAGTTAAAAGAGGACTATCATATCATCTAACAATACCACTCTTGAATATATATAATCAAAGGAGTTGAAATTAGCATGTCAAAGACATAACTCCATTCCCACATTCATTACAGCATTTTTCACCCTAGCCAAGATACAGAATCAAGCTAAGTATCTGGTCCATCAATGGGATGAATGCAAAAAGATATGGGATATACACAGATACATGCTCATGCATACAAATACACAAAACAGACCACTTGCTATCTGCAACAATATGAAAGTACCTGAAGTATGCTGTTTTAAGGGAAATAAGCCAAGCACAGAAAGGGAAACAACACACCATTTAACTTATACGTCAAGGTCACTGAAGCAACAGATCGGTGGTTTACCAGGGGACTAAGGGCAAAGGGGCAATGGTGGTCAAAGGATACAAAACTGAGGAAATGTTGGTCAAAAGATAGAAAAGTTCAATTAGATTTAAGAATAAATTTAGGAGACTTCCAGGAAGATGGAATCCCTGGTGCAGTGGTGAGCAGCAGCAAGTCATCTGCTATTTGGAATCCAGATACTGGAAGATAGTGACTTAGGGAAGAGAAGACTGTGGGAGATAAATCCCCAGGACCCAGAAATGATTTCAAGGAAAGGCTGGAAAATGCAGACAAAGACAGGAGACAGACTGTAGCACAGAAAGAAAAGGCAAAAATGGACATCCCCCCACACTCCCAGCTTGGGGTGTGAGAACCTACAAAGACACAGCAAGAGTGGGCCAGCCCAGAGGTCTCCAGGGAGAAGAGCGAAGGAGTGAGGAGAGCGAAATGGTAGATGCTATCTACATGCTGCAGTGGCTGGTGAGTGACTCTGGTTCCAGAGATAGCTGTGTTCCCTGGAGAGGTGCCTTTTTGGGGAAGAGGCCAGCTGAACTCGGGACTCAGAGCAGCCATAGGCTGATTTCATCTCAACACTCCCAGTGTTGCAGTCTCATGGTGGCTGGGTAGGAGACAACCAATGGGGTATCCAGAGCAGGGCTGCCAGTGGTCGATGTAGAATAACTAGAGTGTTACTGGCTGAGGACTCAGGTCTCACCCCCACAAAAGAAGGCCAGGATCAGTCAGAACTTCAGTGACACTGAGGACACCTGATATCCCACCTCAACCCCACTGCAGAATTACTGGGGTTGCCCAACACAGATCTGGGCTCTGACCTGGACACTACCAGAAAATTGTAGACACCAGGCGATAACGAGAGACTTGGGCAAAGAAAATTGCTTTCATTTTCTTTTTTAACTTGATTGCCTGTTCTTATTTTTTCTATTAATGTGAGCATTGTTTTTAGTTTTGCTTTGTTGTTTTGGCTTTTCCCTTCTTTCTTTCTCTGTTCTTCATCAGCATCCCAAAGCTTCAATCTTGCCTTTAATCTGTCTTCTTCTATTTCTCTACTTTATCCTCTTATCTCTAAAATTCTCTCCCCTCAGGAAGAACTCACTCTATTAGAAGGATTTTGTCTGTATATAATTTTGATTGGTTTTAGATTGTTATATAGCTATAAAGCTTGTACCTAAGATTAAAGGTGGCAAATTAACAAGAGTTATCAAAGTTTGTCATTCTCTGGACTGTGGTTGATGCTACTGTTATTACATGTTATATGATTTTTAACCAGGGTGACACAGTTGTGATCAGCATTTCTTCCTTGTATACCAATATAGAGACTGACTGGGGGTTATAAACAATACTAGAGTCCAATACCAAAAAACTGGTGCTAGGCCTAACACACACTAACCATTAATCCCTAAGAAGTCAGCATGGTAGGATATTGAGACAGACTCAAAAGCCAAAAGTAGGCTCAGGGATTTAGCTCAGAGGTGCCACACCATCTGACTCGCAAACTCAAGGTCCAGGGTTCAATTCCTGGTTTAAAAAAAAAAGCCAAAAGCAAGCTACAAGTTGAAGACATTTTTGAAAAGTAAACATTTCCTGAAGATGTTTCAGTACTAGTAACAAAGCTATCTAACATAAGCAACTTCTAAATATCAACACAGAAAATAAATGTTTAATAAAATAAAACAGAAAACACTGAAGCAAGATTCAATCCCAGACCTCCAGCTTACCCAAGACAAATCCAGGGGGCACTGAGGTGTAAGAAATAAGAAGCCACCTAGCTGGTCTTTTTGAAGTGTTAGAACCAGAAGTAGCAAAGCATATGAATGAGGCTTTTGAAAAAAAAAAAAAAGAAAGAAACAACTCCATAGCTTACTAAAGAAATGATGACCATAATGAACAACACTGTGAGTGAATCCAGAGTAGATACAGATTAAAAAAAAAAAATAGAGCTTAGGAAAATGATGGAAACTATGAAGAACTGGATTCTATAAATCAGATTCAAACAGATATCCAGGAGAATAAAAATTCTAGTAATCAATCACAGTAATCAACGTGAAGAAAGAATATCAAATCTAGAAGACAGGAACAATAAGAAATTAAGAAGGTTTCTCTGGTGTGAATAATCTGCAATAATACATAAGATCCTAATAAGATTACTGACATTTCGAAAAGGGAAGAAAGGAACTAAAGGTGTAGGGAAGTGGGATGAGTAGGGGAAGGGTAATAAGGGAAAAGAAAAAAATGTGAGAGAATGAAAAGATGGAAATAAAGTACTTGTAGGTGGGGAGGGGAGGAGGGGGTGAAGGGAGGGCAGGGGTAAGGGGAAAAAATGAGAATCAAGACTTGTCATGTGGAGGTACAAGATCCCAACAATGAATGTAACTGTATTGTATCCCTAAAATGTACCAATAAACTCAATTAAAGCTGAAAAAAAAAAAAGAAATTAAGAAGGGCAAAAGTCAATGGGTATCAGTATGACTATCAATGAGAATGGTCTCAATTCACCAATCAAAACAAAGAGATTGGCAGAATGGATCAAACAAGATCCAACAATATACTGTATACAATAAACACATTTAACTAAAGAAAAAAAAATTCATAGACCAAAAGTTAAAAGAAGAAGAAGAAGAAGAAGAAGAAGAACAACAACAACAACAACAACAACAAACTCCACGCAGGTAAGAACCCATAAAAAAACATGGGTAGCTATTTTTTTTTTTTTTAACGTCCATTGATTTGGGCCAGGGATTTAGCTCAGTGGTTTCACTGCCTGAATTTGATCCCCTTTACCAAAAAACAAACAAACATCCATTGGTTTGTATTTGGCCACTCTACAATTGAGTACCCTCCCACAGCAAATAGAACAGTTAGAACCAGAAAACAGAATATAGAGGCTGGGTGTAGTGGTGCACTCCTATAATCCTAGCACTCACAGAAGTCAAGGCAGGAGGACTGTTTTTGAGTTCAAGGTGAACTACATGGTGGGACCCAGTCTCACAGACACTCCCGTGCCATTCCACCAACACGTCATATCTCACCAACACAGCAGCTCCAGGCGTAGCATGTAATTTAGGAAGGCACAATGTAGGGGGCACACTGGCAGGGCACTCATTATGCAGCAGAGCCTGCTGTATCCGTTTTAGCTTTGCAAAAATGTAAGTCTTCTTCCAGTAGCCTGGTGCTAGCCCGGGTCGCAGCCATGTTGCTTGTGGTTAAAAGAACCGCCCCCAAAGGCCAGGTGGCCCCAGGTATGTACAAGCACATCCTGTGGAGCTGCAGCTTGACCCCCCATGCCATGGACAGGTTGCAGTGGGGGCCCAAAATCAGTGTGTTTGGGTAGTTATTATATTTGCAGACAAATTGGATTTTAAGCCAAGATTTATCAGGAGACATAAAGAAGGTCACTATATTCTTAAGAGAACAGTCTAAGAGGAAGAGATTACAATCATAAATATATATGCACCAAATAATGATGTACCTAATTATATAAAACTAACACTAATGGACATGAAAAACCAGATAATCACCAATACAATCATAATAGGAGACCTCAATACCCCACTGTCATAAATACAACAACTAAACAAACAAAAAAACCAAGAAATACCAGAGCTGAATCAAACTTCTGAACAAATGGATTTAAAAGAAATCTACACTGTTCTACCCCACAACAAAATATACATTCTTCTCAGCAGAATTTGTGACTTTTTCCAAAACAGATCACATACTAGGTCACAGAACATGCTTAAGTAAATGCAAAAGAACTGAAATTACACAATGAATATTAGTAGACCATAGTGCAATGAAATTGGAAGTCGATGGCAAAAGAAAACACAAAAACTATGTAAAAACATGGAGATTAATTAACACCCTCCCAAACAATGTGACCAATTGGTCACAGATTAAATTAAAGAAGAAATTAGACAGTTTCTACAATTAAACAATAATACCAATATAACATACTGGAATTTATGTAATACAATGAAAGCAGTTCTACAAAGGAAATTTACAGAAGTGAATTCCCACATCAGAAAAAGAGTGAGCTCAAATAAATAACCTAATGTTGAACCGCAAGCTTCTAGAAAAAGAACAAATCAAACCCAAAGTCCATATGAAGGAGGAAATTACAAAGACCAGAGCAAAAATTAATGCAATTGAGACTAAGAATCAATGAAGAAGAGCTGGTTCCTTCAAAGATTAAATAAAATTGACAAACCCTTATCCAACCTTATCAAAAAAGAGGATGACTCAAATCCATGCAAGTAGGAACAAACAGGGAAAAGTCACAGCAGATCCATGACATCAATACGTATTTTGAGAACCCGTACTCTAGTAAGATGGAAAACTCAGAAGAAATAGATTTCTAGATACATACAAAATATCAAAGTTGAATCAAAGAGCTATAAAAATTCTAAATAACACAGTATCAGTCGAGGAAACTGAAGTCATAATTAACCTTGGGGCATAACATTGGGTTATGGAAAAACATAGCATACCTTCCTAATGAAAATTTGTACTTTAGTATTATAGTAGCCAGCTGTGCTTCTCAGGAACTGCACCCTTGTAAAATAGGAAGCAAAACCAGTGTTTACCCACTTGGTATGACAAATGGCAAGGTGTAAGCACATGTGTAAAAGTGTCAAATTGGGACTTCTACCCACATAATGCTCCATGTAATATTTTTGTGTGTTTTCCTGAGCATCACAGGGGGGTTCCAATACTCCCACACCAATCATCTGTTATGTAAACATGTACTATAACATAGTGGAATGTGGGTGTGGCTCACAGTAGCTGGGCCTGGGAAAGCAGGAACCCACCTGCACATTCAAACATTGGGCAGATGAACAGCAAGTGTGTACAGGAGCTGCAAAGCAGCAACAGGTGAGTTTTATCCATGAAAGGCTCACTGTTAAATTTCAGTACATTTAGGATTATTTTTAAAAGTTTTCTTTTAATTTTTCTGTTAAAGTAGCCCAACTTAGTACAGTGGAACATGAAAAACCAGATTTGCAAGGTTTGGAGGAAGTAGAAAGGGAATCATCAGATTATGTATGTATGGACAACAACAATAATGATGACGATGATGATGATGATGATTCTGATATTGGCCATGTGATCCAAAGTTCCTGTGACAGTGAAATAAGAGCCAAAATTGACCAATACATAGGGAATGCAGACCTCCTTGACTCCGATGATGTAAAAAACATTAATGTGAGTATATATCTGACTAGTCAAAATGGTATAAAATGATCATGCAACCAAATAGAATGATTCAATGTTAGAACTATGTTCAAAAGCGCAGTGAGGATCTTGGCAGGGGTGAAACCTATTAGAGAGAATGCCAGTACTGCCATTCAATGTTGGAAACTGTAACAGATAGAATGCTACAAGATGTTGTGACATACACAAATGCTGAAATATAAGTAAAACGTTCTGTATGTACCAATCACCATACACAAAAAATGTGTTTATTGTTTATTATGAAATCTCACTAGCTGAATTGAAAGTATTCATTATCAGAGACCCCTGAGGCAGGTTCTGATCTATTCAGCACTACTACAGAAGGTTAAAAGAAAAACTCAAACACAGAATTAAACAGAGAAATGGGGAGCCAGGATGACCAATGCTTGTGCAAGCAAGGCTGAACAAAGGCCCTGAACACCCAGAGCTGTCGGTATTTATTGGTGACATCACAGTCAGATTGAGGTAAAGGAGCTATGTAAGAGAATGTGTAGCTGCTATGAACACATTACTGATGTAGGCAAGGCTTGTAAAGGAAAAAAATCAAAACATTTTTGAATTAGGAACGGAACAGACAAAATACAGGTTGTGGTTAATAATTAACCTTGTCTTTTCAGTAAAGAAGGGTTTAACTGTAGGAAAAGAATCTGGATAAAAGTCACTCTGACCTTCGTACATAGGATTCAGGTGGACTCACTTCTCAAAACAAGCCAATTGTGGGGTTACCTCTTTATAGCCTGCACTGCTCACAGCCTCCTTTGGGATAATACATAATGTAAAGGACATTCCTCCGTAATCATAAAAATATATGCTCCAGTAGAGGCAAAGACATATTATACTTTCAATTTAGAAATTTATCCTGGAACTGAGCCACCAGGTCTTTATTGTATAGTAACAAACCAAATGATGTTATTAACAGACGTGTTCTCCCATCTCCCAAACTAACCAGAATGTGACATTCAACAACTGGTTTACCAGTTTCCATTATGTTACTTTTGCGAGCAGAGCACAAGGTGACCAGTGTAGGAACAATACACAAGAACAAAGCAGAAATTCCAAATGAAATGCTGAAATTTCAAAACAGAAAATTGTACAGTATAATCTTTGGATTTCTGAAAGATAATAACATTTGCCTTATATAAGGGAAAGAAAAACTGATATTGTTGATGTCAACATTGCACCGTGATGGAAACACTGACAGAAAAACCTTGACAAAACTGAAGCCTAAGAGGGAAACTTTTACAACAAAACCAAAGGCAGAGTAGGTGTTGTGGAAGAGTTGTGAAGCAACTGTAATATTACTTGAAAAACAAAGCACTGGGCAATGGTGGTGTTTTATTCAATCCTAAACAAGTGTGGTGTAGTGGTAAATTTACAAAGAAAATAAAAAATATCACAGAGAAGTTTTCTTAGAGAACTGGGACTGGAACTCATAAGAGATCATTTATAGCAGAGGAAGAACAAAATGTTTCTGCTTAAGGAAATATGCCAAAAAAATTGAACACACTGGTAAACTGACAGGTGAACAGGAGATGCAACATCACAAAGACCTACTACAACAACAGGAAAACCAAAAAGATGTTAACTGATCTACACAAAAGGGGAGGAAAACAAAAAACATACATTCTATCAGTGTAAGCGATACTTGTGAATGGAATATGCAGTTGTCATATATGAAGACTGCCTTTGGTATGACAGTTGAAGCGAAGATTATTTCTGTGGTAGACTTTAGTATTTACACTGTACTTCACTCAGGTTCTTTATTTTTTATGTTATCTTTTAGATTTTGTGAAGTAAACTGCTGATGTGAAAATGGTGATGTCTATTCTATAACCACTCATTACATACTTGATATTTTATTGATATCTGTTTTCTTGCTAAGTGTTTTGTTTGTTTTTTTGTGGTACTGGGGATCAAACTCACAACCTTGCACTTGTGAGGCAGATGTGGTGCCGCTGAGCTAAATCCCCAGCCCTTTTTTCTTACTAAGTGTACACAGTACAATATAAGTGGGAGGCAGCTGACAAAAGAGGAAGACATGATAAAAACCTTAGAGAAAACAGAAACAGAAGGTCTTTATATTAAGCTTGTAAAACCTGTCTATTGAAAGCCAACAGCTAACATCATACTAAATGGTCAAATACTGAAAACAAAACTTTCACTCTAAAATCAGGAGTAAGATAAGGATGCCTACTATCACCTCCTGTCTTCAATATAACTCTGGAAACAACAGCCAGAGCAATTAGACAGGGGTAAGAAATAAAAGAAGTATGACTAGGAAAGGAAAAAGTTAAATTATCATTTGCTGATGACATTATGCTCTAGATAGAAGACCCCTGAAAACTCCACCAAAGGATTCCTAAAATTAATAATCAAATATGGCAGCATCGCATACAAAGTTAACACTCAAAAATCAATAGTATTCCTAAACTTGAATAACAAACTCACAGAGAGTAACACTAGCATCAAGAAAAATGAAATACCTAGGAATCAATCTAACAAAGGAAGTAAAAGACTGGTACAGTAAAACTAGTTTACTCTGCAAAAGGAGACTGAAGAAGATATCAGAAAAGAGAAAGATATCTCCTGTTCATGGATAGATAGAACAAATAGGGTGAGAACGGCCACACTTCCAAAATTGTTACATAGATTTAATGCAATCCCAATCAAAATACAATAGTATATCTCACAGAACTAGAGAAACCAATCCTAAATTTCATTTGAAACCAGAAGAAACCAAGAATAGCAAAAGCAATTCTGGACAACAAAGGCAAGGCAGGTGGCATCACAATCCCTGGTTTGAAATAATACTACAAAGCTACCAAGATAAAAACAGCATGACACTGGCAAAAAATAAAAAAGGAGAGGAGGGGAGGGGAAGGAAGAGGGGGAGGAGGAGGGAGAAGGAGAGGGAGAGGGAGAGGGAAAGAGAAGGGAGAACCAAAAGGCATGGCATAGAACTAGAGGATCAATGGAATAAAATAGAAGATACGGAAAAAAAAAAAACTCCAAGAGAAATCAGCTACTTTATCTTTTGCAAAGGGACCAAACACTCTCACTGGAAGAAAGCCTCTTTAGAAATGGTGCTA